CAAACGAGAAAGAGCATATCGGAAAGAAACAGTTGGGAATAGATATTGAGCAGCATAGCCGCAGTCAAGTGATCGATGTATATTTTCGCTGCAGACAATCTCTCCGAGAAATGTGAGCCCAAGATTGAAAATGCTAAGGCAGCGTTCAGAGTTGGCGATCGCACATGCGATTAGGCGAGTGGGCGAGTAGGCGATAAGAAAGGATACGTATCGATTTGTTGCTCCGTCCCTTCAGCGATCGCCCAATGGCCAACTCGCCCACTCACCTAGTCTCCAAATCGATACGCATCCTTTTCCTTACATGGACTAGTCGCCTAATCGCATGCAAGATCGCTAACTCTAAACGCTGCAAAAAAAAAAAAAAAAAAAAACAAAAAAAAAACAAAAAAAAAAAAAACTAGCTGCCCAATGATCGCCGCCGAAAAGTGAACAAGCAATTCAAAAACATGGTTCACAGAGATGAGAATTTGTAGTTGATTATAGAGAATTGAATAATTGAGCAGAGATGGGGAAGAATTGGCACACGGGTCGCGCGCTACCTGCTGAATACGCCAAAAATCATATGCATGGGTGGACGCTGTTGTGGGTGGGCGGCCGCAACATAAGTCACGTCCGACGAATTCAGCCTCAGGACTTCATTAGGGCGCACCTCGTGTCAAGTAAAAAAGTACAACTTGCGATTGCAGTAATGAAGCTCTGCAGGAGAAAAGGATGATTTGGAAAGATAGAGTGAGAAAAGAAGCATGAAATATAAAAACGGCGGGATGGCCGTCGAGTTCTGCGGTTGAAACTTCGAGCCTAACTAAAGTAATGCATACGTAAGGATGCAAATGGAAGACAATGTGATTAGTGAGGGTTTCGAAGGGAGAAGGAAGGACAATAGATAGACCACTTTTTGATTGGCATATTCCTTTTATTCGTTGCATAATGCCGTTATGTGAGCACCTCCATAGGTTTTTTCCCGTCTGTTCTATCAGTAACCAAGGACGCCAGGTTTATCAATGGTTATCTAAACTTCTTACATACTTCTCTGACGCTATTCTTCGCCGGAAAGCGAGAAATGTGTGTCAGCATTTCCAACCAATGCATAATCTCTGTCTCGCGCAAAAAACAAGCAATCTTTCTGCAATGCTCTGGCCAGGATTCGGTTTCAAGCCTCAGGCAGGGATCGAACTTGCAGTTTTTCAGAATGGCAGAACATGAACTACTCAAACATTGGCCTCACTAACCTTTAAACGATGGCAAAAACAAATTAGCGGCGCTCATTTCGTTGGGGGGGACGGTTTAAAGTAGAGTTGAAGCAATTGCTTGTGGGCTTGTGGTGAGCCTTAAAAGTCGGGGAGAGGATTCTGGGAGAGGATCTAAGCAATCTGTTATCTCCCTGGCGTTTCCCCGTCTCCTGGGCTTAGCTCTAGTGTTAACTACCATGGCTCCTGTTCCTCCTAAGAACATGAGCGCCCAAATGGGTGAAAACTTGAGCTACCACAAATGTCCGGTAAACGATAGGTAGGAAATTATGTAAACTCATTGACTGAGTACAAAAGCTTTAAGGCATGCAAAATAAGCAAATCATTCATGCTACTGGATGAAAAGCCGATACGAGTATGGTTATTGCAAAGCTAACGTTTTTCAAGGATGAAGAAAAGATCGGGCGCTACCACAAGATACGAGGGCATCCCCTCGGATTGAGCCTAAGGAGGGGGCAGGCTCTGGGGAAAATGAGAATTGCTCACGCACTCTGAAGTCTCTCCTGCCCCGTCAAGGTTTTAGTTCCGACTTCAACGAAAACGAGGTGTTTGCGATTTTGAATGCATTGCTCCCACAATGCCCCCGTATCTTGCGATAGCGTTAAACATCGTTCGTTAATTAGTCACAGAAATGTTTGAATGAAGCTTGCACGGAAAAAAGCGAAAGCTCCGATGAGAACGTCGTCATGTCAAAAGATGTCCGCGAATTACGTCAAAGCAATCAAATGTTTTTTTAAGCTGACAGACAGCTTCATCAAAGACATGTAGGTAAATGGTGAAAGAGGATTAGAACGCTCATGTCCTTAGGGGGGGGGGACATTCAGACCAGGGATTCAAAAAACGTTGGTAGGTGACACTACGACTAAGCCCAAGAGAGGGAGGAATGCCAGGGAGAACAAAATTGCTGACATGCTCTCCCAGAATCCCTTCCTCTCCCTAAAGCTTAGTCCCAGGTACTGTGAGTGGCTCACTCACCTGAATCCCCCCACCCCAACGACATGAGCGCCAAGATTAGTAGCCAAATGAACGAACCAACAGCATCAGGACGAAGGAGCTGCTGGAGCAGAGAATGAACGGAGAGTTCGTCATCAAGACAACGCTCGAGTTTTGACGAACAACCAGCATGTGATACCTTGTGGTGACGTATTTTGACGTGAACACCAACAAAAATTCACTGGCGACCCGATAAGAGATCAGAAGCTATGCTCGATAAATTTGATCAAAGGAAATCTGATGGTGCCGATTCCGAAGCCCCAAATGCGACGGTTCTCCATTCACTAGAGCATCATATTTGGGCGCTATCGCAAGATACGGGGGTATTGGTGACAATGCATTTCGAACCGCGTATAGTATCTAGTTTTTGCTGAAATCGAAACTAAGCCCAGATGTGGAGGAAGAGGCTCCAGGGTGCGTGAGCAATTTCCGTTCTCCTTGAAGTTTCTGCCCCCTCCTAAGCCAAGTCCTGGATCGCTTGCCTTGCATGAGTCTTTTCCCGGGGGTACAAGTTGATTTTGATCCGAGCACATTTAGACTTTGAAGATCCTCTAACTAGAGGCCAGATTTGAACGGAAATCGCCTTCCGTTTCTGGGATTAAGCGTTTCGAACAGTTTATTCGGCTTATTTGTTCGAATACCATGCGGTTCTCCTGGAATCGGATCACTACCGGTAGACACTCCAATTCTGATACTAGTGTTAATGTTTGGGACGGAAGTGGTGCATGGGCAAGTGGTGTCTGACCTTACCACCCGCGCGCGAGTCCGATCGAATCCCAGGTCGTGCGTTAGTCCCGGCCAACCAAACCTTCATCTCGGCGGTCGGTTATTGCAACCAGACTTGTTGGCTAGTTATAAGAAAACTGCGTTGCCCTACATCGATACTGCCCTTCGCAAGTATTGATAGAGAAAATCGCATTCAAATTGCCACTACAATTCTGAATGAAGAAGAATGCGTGGCGCATTCCAAAGCGGGATTTATCATGCCAAATGCTCGATCCTTTATGCTTTTATGGTAATGTTCTGGCAGAAAACGAGATGAGGAATGGAATGATCAAGAATGAATTATGCACATATCAAGGTCCCCTTATGCATAGCACAGGAGATGTTAGCATAAAACGATTCCATGCTGATCGAATCAATATTCTTTCATCGGTGTGGAAGACATTCGAGAGAATCTGCCCAACAACTTGAAATGTAATCAATTGGGCAACGTTGCGACTGGGCCAACATACACACACCTGACCGCTCGACGCACTGAAACCAGTTGCTGACTCGCAGACGAACTTGCGCTTTGTGAAAAACAACACTGGAAAGAAAAATGCAGGAAAAAACCGCGAACAAACGGTCTTGTGTGTGATATGCGTGTGTGTCATGTGTGTGCGATGCTGACAGTTAGTGTGATATTGCCTTGATATTATACGGCGTAATTCTTAGCAATAATGACCAAGACTGCACTATATCTTGAACGGGAAAGTCTCACCGCGGTATTCTTTAGCCTTCACCCTTTGATCAATTGGTGAGGCTGTGTCACGAGCACCCGACGCTCCGTCTGCGCGATTCGCGACGCATATAAAACATGAAGCTGCTCGCAATACAACACTGCGAGGTGCTCTTCCAGACCGTCGCATTTCTGCTTGAGGCGTAAGGTGAATGACGTTACTGCTCAATGATTCGGTTACTAGTTCACTATTCAATTGAATTAAATGTGTGCAAATTACGGCACTTTGCAATCTTTGCAAACCGCTCGAAGCGGCGCCCGACGGCGTCGCGAACTCTGCACACACCGTAGGTATCCCATTACTTTGCGAATCGCGCGATTCGCTAGCGTCTGCGGTCGCGTCGCGGCCAGTGAATCACTCAATTGGCTGGTACCGCAACGCGACCGCGGACGCTAGCGAATCGCGCGAATCGCTAGTAGCGAATCGCGCGATTCGCAAAGTCTGACATCGGCCTTACAGAAGGGCTTCGATCAATCGTCGGACGACTACAAGCTTTTTTTCAGTGGATGAACATCATTGGGCTTACTCTTGAAATGACTATCGAAATTTATGTCGTCATAATATGATGCGATTCAGGAATCGCTAAAGAAAACACAGACACAAGCGGTCATAGCGAACCTGAACTTAACCGTGGAGCTGTTCCACAGTGTGTTCGGCACATGTAGGTGCTCGCTGTCATTGTTAGAGAGTTTGTTGATCAAGACAAAGGCATATAAAAGGTGATATGCTTCCATAATCTTTAGGAGACCTTCAAAATGTCAAAAAAAGGCACGGTGTTGCGATACAGGGACTGGGTGCTGCCTATTTTAATTGTAAATAAAAACACAGGCTACAAAATGACCGTCAATGATGAAAAGAAGCAGGTGGTAAGAACCATAACAAGCCGCGTTGTCGCTGAAGTTCAGAGCATCCTTCCCCAGTGATTATGACGGCGCAATGGAGGAAAGCCGCAGTTCGATCAGAAGAGGGAGCACACGACAAAGCTCGTCGTAAAGGGCGTAGACACCACATGTGCTGCAAAAGGGTAAAAATCGCGGCGGCTACTGGTCAAAAGTACCTTTCATTGGGCTTTTTCGAGTGGCGACAGTGTCAGTACGACGACTTGTGTGCTTACGATCTCTGCTACCTCCTAGGGCTGATGCCAGACTTTGCGAATAGAGCTATTCGCTAGCGATTCGCTCGTAGCGCAGCACGACCGCGGACGCTTGCGAATCGCTCGATTCCCAAAGTTCTGACATCGGCATATAGGCCCGTGCCTTTAAGTCTCTTGACGAGGTTTGGACTCAGCGTCTACAATTGCAACTACGAATGCTGTTAAAGCGATAATTACACGAGCTCTGAAAGAGAAACTTTAGAACCGGTCATGAAATCAGCCAAGGGGTATAAAAGCTCAGCTTTAATACGTTGACGACAGCCCCTTATGCGTGTACCTTGGCAACTTTTTGTTTATTTTTTTCACAATCGTCATAACTTCTTCAATAATTCCACTACTGGTAATTGACTCACAGTTTTTCGGATAAGATGACGCATGCACACAGTTTTGAAATATGAAAAAGGCCAAATAAACCATAAAAAACTAGCCAGAATCGGGTGAAATTCTGACGCGCATGCGCGTCATGCTGTCGTCAACGTGTCAATTGAAAAAGGCTAGGCCAGGGGAAACAGAAGAGAGAAATATAAAACGGAGGGAACTCACTGACCTGTGCAGCATAAGGATAACCCAACCCTTTGTGAGTTCTGCGTACGTCTTTAGAGCTTCAGCTACAGTAGTTATTTCAGCTACTCCATTCAAAAACACGAGAGCATCTCCGCGCTCCGTAGAAGGAAACTGTTTATCAATGAGCTAGAAACATGTTTTCAAACTGTATAAATTGAACATTCAAAATAAAACTCAACAGACTTCGAGTATTCTAACGTACGGCTCCGGGTCGATCTTATGACTTTT